AGATGGCACCCGGAGGAGGCCAACCCTGTGAGATCTAATGGGTCTGTGGGAGGTAATTGGCAGCAGGCGGTCTCTCAAGTACCCAGAATCCAAGCAGAACGACCCTAACCCTTCTAGAGAAAACAGGAGCAAGATGCAAAAAGAATTAAGATAGAAAAGGACGAGTATTTAAAACACAGCTTGACAAATTACATGTTTTTGTGTGCGTAGTTTAAAATGGGCTTCTCGTGCTTCCCAAGTCATTCACCGTTTGGAAGGGAAGACTGCAGTTTGCTGTGAAAACACTGAACTAATGTTTGCGTGCCTTGTTTGATATCTTGTCTCCAAATGCGCATGTTGTTCTATCCTCATTGCTATTCCTGTTTCTCGTTTCTTCCTTCGTGGAGAGTTGACGATGCAAGAGGAGGACCAATCCTACACAGATTTGCCCCCTGAGGATTGAAAAAGAGAGGGAGGGAGGGAGGGAGGGAGGGAGGGAGAGAGGGAGAGAGGGAGGTGTCTGTTTCTCCTATTGTTGTACGTTCTGTGTTCTAATCTCTCCATCTCTTCCCCTTCCCTCCTCCGCCTTCCTCTTTTACAGGTTGAAGAAGACATACAATATTCAACACTAGCTTTTGACACAAAAAACACTTCGCAGCCACTCTCGAAACCTCCCCGGCCTTTGGACAGTGGTATTGTTTATTCCGAAATCAAGAAAAAATGATTGTGGATCGATCTTTGCCTGTGGGGGGGACGGGGGCAGGTTATTTAACCCAGGAGCTCCCCCCTCCCCCTTCTGCTTCCTTCCTCTTTCGGCTGGATTCTGATGGCGAGCTTTTATAGGGAAGAAGAAGGGAGGATAAATAATGATCTTCTCCAAAAAAAAACAGGAAGGGCAAGAAGCCCCTTGATCCCGTGATCAATTAATGTCCAGATTGCCGCCCAGCCTCTCAAGTTGGATGCAAAACAACAGCCACAGCGCAGTGTCTCTCTCCCCAGGATGTAATGAAAGGGTTAGCAGCCTTGTGCAAGAGACAACACGTACATTTTTATCATGTTAAGACTTCCACGCGTGCGGCAGGGAGGCTGTTTCATTTCCCCCCCCAACAGGAAGCAAAAAAACAAGAGGTTGCCTTTTTGTTCTCTGCCTTCCCCTCCCATTCTCGTCGCCTCGCTGTGATTCCTGAGTTGTGCCAAACGGTTCTCTGTTGTGTTTTTTTGCAACTTGAGTTTGGTGTTGCCAGCCAGCTGTGGCTCCTACCCTCCAGGGCTTTTTCGTGCCACGTGAAAAATAAAAAATAAAAAAAAATAAATGAAAAGGTCTCCTTTCCTCGGAAAAGCATCCGACGTGCTGCTGGTCCTCGCTGATTTTCAGAAGACGGAGGAGCTGGTGTCCCGTCCTTCCTCCCGGCCAGATTCCTGCCACTTCTAGGTCCTCAAATATCCCTTTTTCGTTTTATTTTTTTAATCGATAGGTAGATCAATTGGGCTTCTCTGATCTGGAGGTTGCGGTGGGAAGTGGTGATGACAAAAAGACAATTTGATTTTCCGTCTGGAACTGTCCCTTGTTTTCTCCAGATCAGCTAGACAAATTAGAAGACGCAAACAAACGAAGAACAATCAGCAGCCAGAAAGTGACGTGAGCGATGAGGTCCCTATTTAAAAAAATAACTTCTCCCAAGTTTAATTTGTTTATTTATCTTTTTGTCCAGCAAACTGGCATTTGCTGAGCCAGGAGAGAAAGAAAAGGGTGAGCACTAGGACCGACTTGTTGATATCTCAACAAGGTTTTCCATAATTCTCCAGCACCAGATGAAAACGTCTTTTGGGGATTTTTACTGACAATTCCAGAACTTTGGAGGAAACTCCCTGCAAAAAGCTTGGGAGACCATCTCTTCTGGGCCTCTCCCAGCTCTTCAGGTGGACTCCTTTCCTCTGGTAGGAGAGTTGGGGGAGATTGCACGGAGCTATAACGAGGAGCAGCTTTTAAATGACCTGCCAGCGTAGGAGAATTGTAAATACAGGGCCCAAACTTCCCCCGCTGCAGAAAAATGCTCGAGCTTTGCAGAAAGGAAGCCCGCCTTATTGAAGGCATCCAAGCATGGAGAGAAGGCGTGTTTACCCAAGGGTATCTCCTCATTTTGGGGAAAAAAAGCAACTGTCTTTTAACAGTTGAGCAGCCTGTCTCCTTCAACTTAATGATATTAGAATTAGCTGGTCTGTTTTGTCTCCAAGACAGGCTGCTGAGCTTGTCAATCATAAAAGTTGGCAGTTCAGGGGTTCGAATCCCTAGCACTGCCTAATGGAGTGAGCTCCCGTTCCTGGTCCCAGCTTCTGCCATCCTAGCAGTTCGAAAGCATGTAAAAAAAATGCAAGTAGAAAAATAGG